CTATTGACCTTCTTATTCCTTCTTATTCCTTTCTATTGTCCTTCTTATTCCTTCTTATTCCTTTCTATTGACCTTCTTATTCCTTCTTATTCCTTTCTGTTGTCCTTCTTATTCCTGCTTATTCCTTTCTATTGTCCTTCTTATTCCTTCTTATTCCTTTTTGTTGACCTTCTTATTCCTTCTTATTCCTTTCTATTGACATTCTTATTCCTTCTTATTCCTTTCTATTGACCTTCTTATTCCTTGCTTTTGACCTTTTTATTCCTTTCTATTGACCTTCTCATTCATTCTTATTTCTTTCTATTTCCCTGCTTGTCGGGATAAGCCCGCAAGAAACATGTCGCTGTAACGCTTTTTTTCTGCCGTGGTAACATTGCACCTTGTCATGGTAACAAAATCGCGTTTTTGTCGTGGTTACAACCCCCTCTCGATGCTTACAGGTTGGACCTACAACTATAAGGCGTGTTCAAACCTAGCCCGCAGCCCCGAAACTCAATGCGCAACAACCGCTTAATCCAGCAACTTCATGGACGCAACCGCTCCGCGTAACTAGGAAATTTGAAGCGACAGCGACGCCACTTTCGGCAAACTTAGCCTATTGGGCCATTCTGGCTTGCAGCGGAAATTGGGTTTCAGCCCCAAAACCAGATCTGCAAAGTTGCATTTGCTTGGAGAAACGCAAAGGGCTGGCAACAATAGGACCGTTTCTTCCCTTGAGGCTTGTGGGTAATGGAACGGACGGCCAATGGCCAAAGAGGCTCCGGGTTTCTGCAGGGTGTAATGGCTTTTTCCGGGCGAGAGCTTGCCCGGTAACCTGCGTGAATGGTTGTCCAGCCTTCCTGATCTCCCAAAAGCCTAGTTTGTGAAAATGGGGCCGCTTCGAAGTTTCGACACACACAGCTTGCAAAGCTACTCTTCCCTAACCGTTCCTGCGAGCGGAGCCCCTCCTTTTCGGTATCAGACCTTGCCAGTTTTGGAGGCCTTGTTGCCAGAGGGTAGCTCCTTTGCTGAAGTTTGGGGAAGGGGGGGGTGAAGCCAACAGTTTGATTTCGCCCGTCAAAGCCCATTTTGCGCAGCGTGCAGTCCGTAGCATAATATGCACGCAGTCCGAACCATTCTGTCGAAGTAGGTTGGCAGTTTGGTTTTAGAGCAGCACGCCCAAAGCAAACCAATTTCTGCGGTTTAGGCGCGTTAGATCGTTCCAAGGGGCTGGTGTTTTGGCATTTGCTTGCCAAATACAGTTCTACAGCAATCACGTTGGACATTTTCCAGCGGTTGCAGCTTTGCCCTTGCCTGCCCGTCAGCTCTGGGACCGCTGTTCGGGCCAAATCGTCAAAGGCAAATTCTTCAGATTTTGGCTTGCCCAGTTGTATCTGGATGTCAACAGGTGCAAACTGTTGCAAAATAGGTTCATTTGGGGCAGTTCAATTGTGCGGCGTTACACATGGGTGATGCACTTGTTTCCATATTAACTAACTAACCTAACTACACCTAAATTTGAACGTGACGTTTATATTATATTGATAGATAGATAGATAGATAGATATATATATATATACATATATATTGCACGTGTTTGTGTTAGGCAGGCTAGGGTGACATGGGTTCATTTGAACAGTTGCTTGGATCTTGTCCAGAATGGCACCTCGGGGCCATTGTGGCTCAAGAGCCAGAATAGCTGATGTGTCTTTATTTATATTCAAATTACATTGGTAAATCTATGTACCTGTACATTTATTCATATAAACGTAATATGGTTTAAAGCTGTAAATACACAAGCCTTGAAATGCATAATTCTAAGCAAGCAAACACATAAACATCTATAGATATATGTATATGTATGGGGAGAAATATATATATATATATATATTTATTTATAAATATATATATATATATACAGATGTATGTATGTGCACATGTGCCAGTTCTGAGGCACTCAGCTGCTGGACGCCTGGAGCGACCAAGCGCCAGCTCCAGAGTGGCGCCCCAGGCGTTGGAGCTTCGGCACGGGGCTGCCACTTGGCGTTGAGCGCTCGGCGCTTTTCGAGCGCCGAAATGGGCATGGCATGGGCGGCTCGTCGTTTTGGAGTTTCCTGTTGGTGTCCCTCTGAAACCATCAAACAAATATCAACTCCCAAAAAATTGCAGGTTGTTCCTTTTGGTTTCCTTTTGAAACCATCAAATAAAAGGTAGCAATTCGAAAGAAAAAGACCCCGAAATAGATTCTTGACATTTCCCCAGTGACCTTGGGTGCTCTGAGGGGGAATTCTTGACATTTCCCAGTGATCTTGGGTGCTTTGAGGGGGGCGGGGAGGGGACGAAAGGGGATAAGCAATTTCTTTTTTGCTGTCATGTTTAGGGGCTCATTTTTTTCAACATTTGTGTAAACAAAGGCTGACTTTTTCCAGACTGTATTCATCAACCAGGGAGGTAAGTTCGGCCTGCGCCGAAGGTTTCTACTGCAAGATGCTCCTCGTGCGGTAGGGATTGTGGCCCGTTGGCTTCCCTCCAGAGATTGAGCGGTTTTCCCAACACGACAGAGGTTTGCATTGCGTGCCCCAACTTCTTATTGGTGTGCTGGCAATCGATCTTCCCTTTGGATTCCGTGCGCAAGACCCTAAAATAGCTTCAGCAAGATGCCCTTATCTAACGCGGCCTGAGGTTGTTTCTTCGCGCTTAAAGAATGCGATTGTTTTGACATGCCAGGCGCCAGGCCTTCGGTTTCGAAGTTTGCTTGCGCTAAGGTCCTCTCTCCTTTCCGCGGTGCCTGAAGAATTTCAGAAGAAGAACTGCTCGACCAGTGCTCGCAGCTCGCAACGCATTGTGCAGGCTTGCTTCCATAATTACTGAGGATATTACCATAGTGTCAGCCAAATGTCACTCATTTGTTCCATGGGTCTGCGCTGTTGAGCCAAACGGCAGTTCTGGGCTCCAGTGCCCCAGGTGAGTCACAAATGGAAGCGAAATCCGCCTTTTGAATTCTTGAAGCATGGCTCTGGGCCTACGACCATTCCAATACCGGGTATTGATCACACCTGGATTTCCATTCATGGCCCATTTCCCTTTCATGCGGAAGACTAGAATTTCCCCCATCCCCCATTCCCCAATTCCCTTTCATGGCCCTCTAGATTTCATGGGGAAAGAGAATTGGGACCTTTTCCCCTTCCCCTCCCCCTCATAGTAGGGGCGGCTGTGCCTCAGGTTGCGAAGGAGGGCCTTCCATGCTCGGCGGCGGTTCCGCGAGCGCTTTGCGCGGGCTCGCGGAGAGCTTGGCGCTGGAGGCGCAGGCTGGGGCATAGCGGAAGAAGCGCCGGCCATGGACCAGGGAGACCAAAGTGATGGGTTTAACCAGTGTTTAACCTAGTTTTTGCCCCGCACTTTAAGCCCGGAAGTCTGAAACCCTAACTAGGTCCCCCAGTAGTGCCCTGTCTCACCCTTTGTTGGGGAGGGTTCAACTACTAAAATAGACTACAGAAAAAGTTGGCACCCTTATTCTAGGTCCTCTCTAACCCACCTGCGAAAGACCCAAGAAATTGCTTTTCCACCAACCGCTTGCAGGGCTTCGTGACCTTGAGGCAGGCCGCCGCTCTCAAGGCGTGGCTGGGCCTAGTCGCACCGCGCCTCGAGGAAAATCTGCAGAACGTGATGCCGCCGCTGAAGCGGGCGCAAGCGTTCCTGGACGACTTGCTGCTGGAAGGCGCGGTGCGTGGGGCGGAGCACGCATGCTGTGCCCAGCAGTGGGAGGAGGAGATTGGACCCCTCAGAAAGGAGCTGCTGGCGACCAGCGACCGGTTACAAGAAGGTAAAGCGGGGTGCGACCCGTTTTGCCAAGCATGGACTCTCCTGTATGGCTTGTCACTCTGGGGTCCCAGCTCCTTTGAAGATGCGCAACGCTTTCTGGCCGTCCTGGGCGAGGTCCTGTCAATGCCAGGGTCTCCTTTGGCCAGAGCTGTTTCTGCAGCATCGGACTGCCAGCCTTCAAATGCTTCGTGGATGCTTGGCTCTGGGATCTTTAACCCGGGCCACTTTTAAAGATATGGCTGTGGGTCAAAACCAATAAGATCCCATTTTGGGGTAGGTGCACCACCCATTTTTGTTTTTTTTAGCGGGGATTGGGATGTTCACTGGGGGTACGGAATTTTGACCCATGGCCATGTGTTTCTCAACAAGATAGATGCATTAAAATTCGGGGATCGCCACCAAGGATGGTGGATGCCATCGCTTCCGAGCACTATGTCGAAGTGGAGGATCGGTCCTTGGTGTTGGCGCTTTGGCGCATTCATGGGGCTGCATCGGCGAGGACCGAGTCGAGGGCAAAACACGCCACGTTCTTTAGGCTTCAGATATTTGAGCCGCCGTTTGCTTGTGCAACCGCCTCCTCGGCTTTCCCAAGCAAAGGCTGGATGTTGCGAGGATGGCCTTCCAATGTGCGGTGCCTCCAGACCTGCGCTGGCCCAAGCCTGCGGCATGCCCGTCATGCTGGACCCGCTGCTTCCGGCAGAATCGGCTTTGCTGGGCCCCTTGGGAGGACCAGCGCGCGGCGAATGCGCCGCTCCCCGATTTCGTGGATGCTTCCCCCAACCATGTGGAGGTTGTGACTCAGACGCAAATCGACCTTTTCACCTTTTGGTTGCCAGTTTTGCTCCATGTTTGTCATTGGTTAGCCTTTTATGTTTGGGTCCCTTGGGCAACTAAGGTGAAGTTCATTGAGGAACAGTTTAGTTCTCATTCGCTCTAGCGTTCGAAAAGCGAGCTGCAAGCGCAGAGACAAAGCTGTAGACGCTCCGGGAGCAGAATCAGGGCTTTGTGTGTGTGTGTGCCGTTGAAATGCGGCAGCGGATGCGCCCAATCATCAAACCCCCCACCTCAGAGACACTGAACATTAGCCAAGGCTTTTTGGTGCCAATCGCAAGTTGGGTGTGTCTGAATTGGACTGGACCCTTCTTGCGGTTCAATGGGGGACCCAATGCAACCGGGGGAGATGGGGGTCTGCCCGGCAGGCACGCAGGACTGGTGAGCTAGAGGCGCCTGCCTCAGGCGAACTGCCAGATCGGGAGCTGTTGCTTGACGGCGCCCATTTTGAAGGGCCTGATTAAAGGAACCCGATTAACCCCTGATAGGCAATCAGTCACTCCTATTTGGGTTTTGGGGGGCCTTGACACCCATAGGAAGGTTGCTTTAAGAGAAAACTGAACATCGACAAAGCGCCTGCCGGGGTCCAACCATGGAGGAGCCAGCGCACGTGCAGGATCAGAGCCCAGCTGCCCCGTCAGGCGCTGCAATCGCGGGTCGATGCGCTTTCTTTGGTCATAGCCAGGTGGCTCAGCGGAAGCACTCGTGGCAACTCGGCGCGGGAAGTTTACCTATTTGGGTATGGGTCAAAATTAAGCCACCAGGGGACCGCAGGTTTTAATCCATGTTTCTGTGTACCAGGGTTCCATTTTGGGGTTAGCCTATTTTTGACCAGCCATTTCATGCTCATGACACTGCAGAATGGTGTGGGCCAGGGGTGAGGTGGCTTTTCGCGCATCGATCCGAGGTGGAAAAGGAGTGGCAAGAGGACTCCGTGAAGAGGTTGGAGGCGCGAAGCTCGGGGTCCCTGGTTGCCGCTGCCCCCCCCCCCCCAAAAAAAAAAAAGGACCCCCTATCGGTTCCTGAGTCGAAGATGGTTTCCACCCCCGAACCACTCAAGGGAAAGACAGGACATGGACTCCTAGCTACAAAGCTACCATTAACATGGGAGTCCTGGCGGAGGTGGTGGAAGCAATCCTAGATCATAGAACCCCTTCAAAAGAAGGGTAACAAGGGATACTTTGGATACTTTGGTGCATTTTGCTTGGATGTTAGGACTTTAACTTTTTGCCAACTAATGGATTTTTTTCATGACACCACTAAGAAATAATATTTTAGCAGGGGAGCAGAAAGCAAAAGAGGATACCTAGCTGGTATGGCGCAAACAATCTGCTCTTAGCGCCCGCTTCTCAGCCAGGCAGTTGCGGAGTTCTTGGAGGATGAGACGGCGCTGCGCTTCATTGCCACGAGCCAGCCTGAGCTCACGCGCTTGGGCGTTGGGCGCGTCCCGGGAGTTTCCTTGAAGCGGAAGAGCCCCTGATGTAACCGACCCTGAAAAGGGCGCCCTTGAAAAAGACATCAACTGATGTCCTGTCGTTTTCAACAGTTGGAGCACTGGAATTGGGGGTTTCTCCCCCCCCCATCACCTCTCCTTCAGCCCCTTCCCCCATACTGTGAGGCCAGTCCTGGCGTGCCGACCCGAGGCTTGAAGCTGTCCTGTTTTTGACGGCCCCTTGCGGAAAATTCTTGGGGCCACCTCAAAGAGCAGGTTGCCGTGCTTGGTTTGCAAAGCGTGTCCCCAGAGCAGGGCGAATCGACCACGTGAATAGATTGAGGCGCGACCAGGAGGATGTGAAGCTCCCACCTTTGCGACAGGCGGAATGACACCATTGGACACTGTCATGGAGGCACGCTTGGGTGAGGTGCGCGAGCTCATGAAGGATCTGTTCAACATCAACTCGGAGGTGGCATTTGACCGCCGGTGCCTCAAGATGAATCAATGAAGTGAAGTCTCCCTTTTTGAGTTGGTCATGTTGTGTTCTTGTTTCTTTTTCGGCGGGGGGGCTGTACGCGGAACTGGGAGGAGAGGGGCTAGGGACTTTTCGCACCACACAGCAGCCATGACCTCTGGCTGTGTTTGTCTCCATGCGCGGCTCGAACATGCAGGTGTGTATGTACTTCAGGGCCAGGCGGGGAGGACTTGAGAGAAGCAGCAGGGATTGTAATGACGTCCCTGGAATGGAGCGCCGCAACATGGCAACTTCCTGATTTAGATTGGTGGCAACCAATCTTCCGCTCTTGGGAAAGTCTAGATCAATGGAATTGGAACCTGCCCCCGCCCCTACCCCCTACGATAGCTATTCGCACTGGCTGTTGGCCGCGACATGCTGCGGCTGTTTCGTTTGCCTCGGATATCCATTCCAAGCCCTGAGAACTTTTGGCCTGGTATCTTTGGAGGGTTTGGACGTTCGATTTTGAGAACGCCGAAACCAAGCCCCCAGTTTAGAGGGTTCCCAACCACAGGTCGCCGACAGCATGGCGCCAGATGGGGTGCTTGCAACCATGCAGCAGCGTGCAGCGCGCCCGCCACGAATTAGTTCTCCCTGCCAGGTCCCAAAGAGTCTAAAGACTGGCGGCGCAAAGTGAATGGAGGGCGTAGAGGTCTCTAGGCCCCCGAGATGTCCATGTTGGACGTAAGTTTTCAGCGTGTCATCGGGTTTGGGCGAGAGAGAGGACTGCCCATGCCAGGCATCAGCTGCTATGGATGTGGAGCTAGTGCCTGAGCCCGGATGGTTGTCCGAACGGGAGTTGGGGGGAAGTTCCATGGCTAAGGGACTGATTTGTTCGAGGCTCCCTGAGAAAAAAAAAAGGCTTGGGGAGGAACGTCCATGGGGGGGGGAGGGGGCGGGGGATGTTCCGGGACTGATTTGTTCGAGGTTCTTCCTGCAGCGGAATTCTGATTCGCAGCCTCGGCCCTAGGCCCCCAGCGAGGCCATGAGGCAGCACAGCTAAGCTAAGGGCTGTCTTGGTCATGCTGCAGGAGGACATGCCCAGCAACGAGTTCGCTTGGCGGGGGCTGGTCAGTCAAGCAAACTGGGTGTGTCTCAAAATAGGGGCCCCTGGTAAGATGGGATTAAAGGGACACCAAAATTGGGGGCCCCCTACCTGGACAGGTCCCCTTTGAGCAACCCCCATATATCGCAGGGACAGGGACACTGGGCATGTGGCATGGCAAAACAGTCCAAGGTGGCAGTGGCTGCTTTGTGGCTCAGCCTTGCTCGAGCCGGCCTGAGGGGCCCAAATTGGGTGGAGCTTCTAATGGCCTCATTGAGTCAGGCCACGCTCATCTCTGTGAACATGGACGCCTTCAGCGTGCGGCCCTCAGGGCTGAAGGTAAGCTGTGGAAGCTGCCCCTTGAAGGGAAGAAAGGCCAAATGCAGGGAGCTGTTCCCACACCCTAGCTACCAGCGCCAGCATGTTTGCAAGACCAACTGAACAAAGAGAGACTTTGTGTGGTAAACAAAGCAGGAAAAAGATGTCACTGGAATTCACTGGATTTGCCGGCAGCCCTTAGGCTAACACAGACACACGCGGAGCGCACTCCTGGCTCACAAGGTGACCGTGGGGCAGCTCGACGTTCGAAGCTGAGCCAAGTAGCACTCACGTGCAGTGCCTCACGCCGAGGTGGCCAACCAAAATGTGTCTGATATGGCGCAGCTGGCGCAACCAACGTTGCCGACAGATCCGAACCCAGAATGATGTCGGCTTCGGATTGTGAGTGCCAGAGTCAGGGGTCGGGTCCCCTGTTTGTGAGGGATCAGCGAACGCATTTTGAGGTGCATTCCGGATTTGTGTGGTCCCATCAAGGTCCAAGAATCCTTCAACATACGTTCCGAGCATACCTCAAACATCCCATGATGAGGCTGCCTTTCAAAGGATTACGTTGGTTTTTGTTTAGACAAATGTCCGCAGTAAACATCCCAAAACGTCTGGTTGATTCATGGGAGGCGTCCCATCTCGGGATTTTTTTGCTGTTTGACAACAGTGGAATTTCACTGTAAATGAAACAAGGAACAGCGACAAGAAAGAATGTGTGTTTCCGTGTATCCCCTTTGTGTGGTTGAGCCTTATCCTGGATCCGTCGACCAATTCGCCAGAGATCCCCGAGACTCAGGCAGCATCCATTTTCGCCGTGGTCGCCGCCATGGAGGAGAGCGTGGCTGAATTTCGGGGGCCTCCGAAAGACACCCCAAAAGCGGTCGAGTCGGTGGCAATGTATGGACCCCAACATGGTTGTTGTTGGGAAACAATTTACATCTCTGCTTATTGTGGTTTAGTGGGAACTCCCCACTTAACTGCTACAATTTAGGTTTTTGCTCCCCTTCCAACGTCAACCAAGGCAAAATGATGTTCTATTTGGCGTCTCTTTGCCCAACCTGCAAACAGGTATCCTCCAAAAACGCACGCCCAAACAGGGTCGGGTCAACCAATGGGCGGCCGCGGCCTCCCTTTAGCCTTACAAAAGGAAAAGGAAGGGGCGTGGTTTGATCCAGGCATGGCCACTTGCAGGTTGCCAGACGGACAGCGGCTAGCAAGTCTGGGACCCTGCTTTGCCTCTGCGAGAGCACATGAACTCAGTCTTCACTAATTTCCACTGAATTTTCTCTGCAAGTTAACATGGGCCCAAAATAAAGGTTAGCTGTTTGAGCCCGTGTTGATCAGCGACAGGGTCAACGCATTGAGCGCCGATCTCTCGCAGCCACTTGGCCCGAAGAGTTTCTGGCAGGCATCATGACCAGCGCGAAGGAGAAGGCGTCATGGAAAATGCCATGGGTTGATCAAAAGCTCCGCTTAGGGAAAGCCACCAAGATAATTTCCCCACGTGGGAGAAGTTGCCCATTGCCGTGTGGCCAGGAGCGGTGATCAACCCCCATGTGCAAAAGGAGTACCTATCCCCTTTTGGAGGGTCCCTATATTTCTCTGCTTTGGGGCTTTAAACACTTTTCAAGGACCCATTTCATGTGAGTTTCCCTTATTGATGTGTTAAAAGGAAATTGAGTTTAGAGGGTATTCCAAAAGGAAACCACAAGTGTTGTGTTGCCCGGTTTCTTTTTTGGCACCCAGGTGTTTACCGCAGGGCATCTGGACAATGTCAATGCCGCCCATCCACACATGGACGACCCTCGCTTCCTGACGATCACCAACCAGTCCAACAATTGCATCCTGCGCTTCACGGTGTTTACTCGTTGTGCTCGCGAGTTGGGGGAAGAAGCTAGCCTTGCAAGCGGATCAAACCGTTCTGAAACAGTATGCGAACACCGTGCGGTTTTCCCATGTTGGCCCATTTTGAGTCAAGATTCCAAAGGTTATACCTTCCGTCTCCAGTTTTTGGCTCTGAGGAAGACACGCGCTGCAAGTACCAGTACTATCGCGCCCAATGCACTTGCCCCGAGTCTCAGTTGGAGGATTGGATGGAGCATCGTGCCCGGGGCTCCTGCCATTTGGATGTCTTGCCGGATCGCAGCACTGTCCACGTGAAGCAGTGAGGGGAAAGCTGCCGCTTTTTGAGAAGCAAAGGCCACATGTCTCAGTTCTCGATGGCCAAACAAGTCCCCTGTGATGGGAGGCAAGGCAGTTGAATTGCTGATGCTCTTGCATCATGAGAATCATGAGTGCTGAGTGCTATGTTGTTTCCCGGTTCTGGGCCGAGAACGAGAGAGCGAGTGTTGCTTGATATGGAAAGGCAGAGGCAAAAAATGCGACGGCGGAACCACTCAGTTCCGCAACGCAACACTCATTGCGCACCACATCCCCACCCCAAACAAATCTATGAACGGGTACTGTCTGCTTGGTCCTCCGATTTTGTGAGTCGCAGCACTTGCAGCTCAAGAGCGTCAGGGTGTGGTGACCCAGGCTTGAAGCTGTGCATGAAGCCTTGTGAACACGGCCGAAGCGCACATAGCCTCACTTGCAGGTGAGCAGGCATGGACGATCTCAGTGACGAAAAGAAGTTGGTCATCAAGGGTGGCTGCCTGGAACTTGGAAGCTTCCAGAATTCGGAAATGATCCCAAAAACATTGCTTGGTTGGTGGGTTGGATTGGGTTGGTTGGGCTGGATTGGGTTGGGGTTTGGGTTTGGGTCTGGGTTTGGATTGGTTGGTTGGTTGGTTGGTCTCCCTCCTGCATGTCTCTTGGACCCACAGAGCTCGGCGATTTGCTGCGGGCCTAATTCAGGTGCCTGCTGCGGCCTGGGGTGGCTGATCTTTTTCATCATCTTGGGTACAAGTGCCCTTCGGCAGCATGTGCTTCGCCGGCTGATCCCAGCACTGCGGTGAAGGCTCAAGGCTGAAGGGACAAATGAGCCCCGAAGAAAAGAGGCTCAGGCTCTGGGAAAATCTGTGTCGCTGGAATGCCGCTTCAGGTGAAATATGTCAACGAGCGGCAACAAGTGGTCTTCATCTCCAACACCGGGCGCACCGTTGAGCAAGGGCCCTTTACCCGGATCATTTGGCCTTCCACCAGGCCAGGCGCCCAAGCTCCAAAGCCACCAGCCGACCGGGGGTTGCTTTTTTGAGGGTGGCAGCCATAGAGAGGATTTGACACTCGTGTGGGTTTGTGTGGTTGTGTGTGTGGTTGTGTGTGTGGTTGTGTGTGTGGTTGTGTGTGTGGTTGTGTGTGTGGTTGTGTGTGTGTGTGTGAGTGTGTGTGTGTGTGTGTGTCTGTGTGTGTCTGTGTGTGTCTGTGTGTGTCTGTGTGTGTCTGTGTGTGTCTGTGTGTGTGTCTGTGTGTGTGTCTGTGTGTGTGTCTGTGTGTGTGTCTGTGTGTGTGTCTGTTTG